CTCCACACGCCAGGCACACGATCGTACCCTCCGGCTGATACCAACCTAATCCGCGGCACGAAACTCCAATCACCGTAACTTGTTGTACGGAGGTACGGTGACACCCGCACATTTGTCAGGGTGCTGAAGGTGTTAATTCTCCACAAGGACGTCGTATGATGTATAATGGTATGTTATCACAGAGTCTTGGCTCCATTGATTACTATATTACAAGCTGGATGAGGCAAATGCGCACGACTTATCGCCGTGAAAATACAGGGACTTCTGCATGTTACGATGGTGTGAATGTGTTTCACTGTGCTTTTTTTTACGGTAGCCCAAAGCTACAAACCTACTTCCCTACCCATACGCCTTGAAAATATGACGTCATGTGTGGGTCAAAGGTGTTCGGAAGTCGATACCGGCAGCCGTCCGGATTAAGTTATTATTATGGTGACCATGCAGCCCCTCATGAACTCAGTTCTGCATGGCACTTGCAACATTATGTTACCCAACACCAGTTACCATGGTGACAGACGACTGGTCCTGGTCATCGACCTTCTTTGTTTAGAGAAGAAGAGGAAGAAGAAGAAACAGTCAGAGCATGTTTTCCTTCTGCGTAGGTAAACTTACAAAGTACGAGCAGTGGGTAACAAGAAAATACATGTGGCTACTCCAGTCTAATAGTTATTTATTCACCGACTGGGAAATAATAAATTAGAACCACTGCAAATAAGTCAAACCACGCTCGCCTGGTTATAAACGATAAGCCCAGCGTAGACGTAGTTCTGCGTACGTCTCGACAGCTCACATATATCTTCAACAAAAGTGGTCTGTGCTGTTCAGGGACTGATTGGAGAATTAATTTTCTCTCTAACCTTTTGCGCGATGTTCTTGAGAGAGTTTGAATCGAGGTCGTGTAGTACATTTACTAAAATGCCGTTCATAAGACAGTCATATATCTATGCCTATCAGGCTGTAATGTGTGTCGTGAAATTCATCGTGGTTCGCTAGTGAAAAATGGTCTTCTCAAAAGTGGAGAAAGGTACATATTTCTCAAAAAGATATGGCCGGTAATATGCTATTAATTTTATGCCCTGTGTCGTCGTGTGTCATAACTTTGTTTCTAACAGTAGACAGGTTTGGACTCGTGCCATCTTTGACATTTGCCTGTCAAATGAAACTTTTTGCGAATCAATTTTTGGTCCCAAATGCAAAGTGGTTCCAATTTTCTATTTGAACCAACGAAAGACATTTTGTAATTTCTTTATTACCTCTGGGAGAGAAGTATTGTTTTTGGGGGGCGCTGTTGTAGGGAGGTTGTTTGAATTCCAGATCACGGCACGTAAACGTAGCGTAAAACCGACGGTTTATCCTCTTTTCGCAAATTTACGACCCCTATACGTGCACGTAAAGATCGCCTTGCCGTAATTGTGTAGTAAGATGTTTTTGCCGGGAATGTGTACTGTGTAGTCATGGTATGAAATATAAACCAAACTGTAATAGCACTATTAGCGAAGTAAGTTACGCCATTCAATGATATGATACATGAACGCAACCTAATTTGAAATTCCCGATTAGGCCACACCAAGTAAATTTTATGGATGACGTCCGCGAGCGCATTGATTTTGGCCTGGTCCTAGAAAAAAAACAAGAAATTCCGCTTCCTGTAACTATGACCAAAGAGTCACGACAGTGCCACAAATCGTTAGATTGACGTGAAACCCGTAACGCGAAATGGGTAAAGAGCACATGCTTTGTTTTGATGATGAATAAAAGACTTCTTGCTTGTTACACTGTGTCACCTCATTCAATTTGTGTCCAAACATTTGTCATCTCTTAATATATTTCTAATCTAGGCATCTTGTTTTTAGGGCCCTTCTTGTTTTTTTTCGCCCTCTCGCATTATATGTAGGGTCTCCAAAGGACGTCATCCATAAAATTTACTTGGTGTGGCCTTATGAATGTAAAGGTTTTAATTGTTCTCAGTTTTGATGAAACGCCAATAGATGGTTGAAAAAAAGTGATAATTGTGTACTATACTTTTAAAGAAAATATTGCTTGATTTTACAGCATATTTCAAAACTTTATTGTTTTCGTAACCACTAGAAGCTTTAAATTGTTACCATGACGCACAAGTGCGCATGTAGCAAGAAATGAAAAACGCAACAATTAACAACATCCTGGAAACGTAATCCACAAACTAGATGAACATATCAATATTAGTACGTCTGCCCTAGCGGGATTTGAGAGTACGTCAGCGGCTGCCATGGTAACGGAGAGTGTGATCAGTCTGAACCAGACTGGGTGAGGAGGTCATTCAGTTGACAGTTTTTTAATGAAATAAATATATTTATTATTCAACCAGCTAACATCACTCGGCCGACTCATGTGCCGGCTTGTCGAAAAATGTACTACCGCAAATTCACAACTCCAGCCTTGTACTCCTGTGGGTTTCATAATCTTTTGATTTTAGTTTTTAGTCGCCCGCGTGCATTACTTTTGGGGTCTTCAGATCGAGGATGTTGCGTTGCCTTAGTACATTTACAGTAAATGTTTTTCGCTATACCATACTTTGTGTGCTTAGTCATTTGTTCAACGTAGATTTCATAATGAAGGCAATTTGCTCTTACCAAACTTTTTATTCGCACGCTCGCATCAGTTTTGTGGTTCCAAGAGGATGTCATCCATATAATCAAATCAACATGGCCTTAGTTAGAACTTTTCCTTCGCCCGTACACTTGCCGAAAGCCCTTGGGTCTGATTTAGAGTTTCTCCCCGATATTGAAGGTGAGGCACGCAAGAGATGATTTCTCCGAGGGTTTAGAACATCAAACACCCAATAATGATGACCTCTTCTAAATCCGATGTTTCCTTCAGATGGTCCTGACAGAGTTAGATGGACTGTCTTCTGGAACCACAAGGAACGTGTCTGACTTTTAGATCAGGTTGCTGATCGCACGTAGCTCGCACGCGCTGAGAACCCCGGCCGCCAACTCAATTATGCCTAGGCCTTCCCTGCGCGATCAGAAAATGCTGCAACTTCCAAGTAACCCCCCCCCCCCCTACGATCAATAACCCGTTAACGCGTTACTAAGGACTGGTGGAGGCTAAGGGACCGAGGGGACATCTGCCTTATTAAGGACGAAAATGTCTCTGTCAAGGACTCAATGGTGCTAGATGTACTCTTGCCTTGTCACCGCGTTTTTCATTATTATTAAGCAATAACAACATCGTTAAATAATTAGGTTATACACACCTAAGTAGTTGTCTGTCTCAAGACAGGGACGTACCATAGCAAGATGTATCAAGTTTCAAAGTTTCATGGTGGAGGGGTGCAGGGAATATAGATGCTTTAGAACGACCAAAATTGACAAGAAATACTTGTAAGTTGTAGGCCAATAGATTGAAGCCTCCTTGAAGCAAGAGACAGGAAAGGACAGTTCCAACTACAAACCCGATGAAACCGGCCACCCCTATCTGCGAAAATGTAGCGATCCCAACAAAAAAAATCAGAACACTCCAAAAGTGAAGCAGCCGACTCCGAAGTTGTCGGACAGGTTACAGATATTCGCGCGCAGGTGTGGTCTGTCAACTAACCCAGATTATCTACACTCAACACGAGGACACTTGCCGTAAGTCCGCCATATCAGAATCTACATAAGGAATTATAAAATGTTAATCGTTTACCAGGGTCTTTACAATCAGAAATCATATCAGAATGACTCGTCTTCAACCCCATACTAGCCGTAGTGCTGTCCGGGATAGGTATACATGAGCGTAGCGTCAGCGAGATTACCACAAAATGTGGTCGCTTATAAAACTGTGCCTAATACTAGTATTAGTACGTCGTAAAAAGGGGCATGAACTGGCGGTTGATCCCATGGGAGATTATACAGAGTTCCTTAAAGCTTTAAAGCAACCAACAGATAATGCCATGCAACTGTAGGTCGTTTATTTTGACAACACGGTGAATTATCTAAATTGATATCCCATATACGCGTAGTTTTGGTGAGTTTATTTGTAGGTTTAGAAATGCCCCTTGTCGTATTCGCGTATGTAAGGATGATGTCCCGTCTATATGTATCAAATGTTGTGTCCAAAAATATATCGTCTGCAACGTTGACCAAATTTCGTTGAAAAATCCGAGTTCTGCACCTATCCTACCTAGTTCTGTCAATCATAATAAACTGATTAACAGTTCGGCCAATGAAAGGACAGCGATTGGTGGTTCGACCACGGTTCGACCAATGTTTTAAAGGCATGTCAATCAAAGGATTTCCATTCTTATGTCTTCGTTTTGTACTCTCCTAGCAGAGGTTGGATTTTGGGGTATTTTTGACGTGTTTTTAGGCTTTTTTACCGTTTTTTTTGCACTGGAATTGCTTTCATCATTTTGGGATGAGAAAAATTCCAGTGACAAAAAAGGAAACCCCGATAAAAAAAGCCTAAAGATACGCCAAAAATAACCCAAAACCCAAACCTCTGCTTGAAGAGTATTTCATTTTGCATGTGTACGTTTTGAGGGAGGTGGGCAGCGCTTTGGGATCAGTCTACTAGTATTGGGTGACTTGTCATTTCTTGCTCTCAATGGATTTAGGTTCACAGTTTCTTTTAAAAATTTGCCATACTGTGTTTGTTTGTTTATTTGTTGTTGCAGCAAACATGTCGGTAGAAAAGAGGACAACTCCGGAGATATTCGACCCTAACTCGACCCCCGAAATGACGGCGAAGTATTACGACAACTGGTCCGGGCACTACGAAGAGGTGCGTACATGTAGCTGCAGATTTTTTTTAACGGTGTCGCTCAATGCAAGGCCAATTATTTTTGGCCACCTCTAGGCATAGAGCTAGAGGTACTTAAGTGAGAATAATGTAGTTATGTCAGGAGATGGCGGTGGACATTTGTTTTGAAGCTTTGTAGATTGTAATCGGACGGAAAGCAGCTGTTTGGAAGAGAGTTCCATAATTTTGCAGTCCGGGAAAAGAAGCTGTTGTTGTAAAATGACTTGGAGATAGGTATGTTGACGGTGTACGTGTATTGATGAGAGCTGGAAGAGAACCTAGTGGCAGATGAAAGGTTCTGAGCGGTGGAACAAGAATACAAGGTGCTAGAAACAAGCAGATACGGGTCTAGTCTGTCTAGATATGTCAAATAGTTTTAGAAATAGTTTATACATTAAACACAACCAATAATTCGTCTGAGCAGTCTGAGCATGCGCACTCGATGACTGTGAGCCTCCATCTTGTTTCTTCCAACAGGAGATCATTACGCAGTTGAAGTGCATCGCTCCCCGAGTCTGCGCAGACGCAGTACAGAAAGCCCTGGCCGGCTCGGACCGGAAGGAGGTCCGTATTCTTGACGTGGCGGCCGGGACTGGACTGGTCGGGGAAGAGGTGAGGTGGTTAACAAGTGATTGAACCAACTTTAAGCTATATTTCTTTTCACCAAAAGTCGAAATGTTTAAGAGAAACTATTCGTGTGATTGTAATTTACTTTTCAACATATTTGCGCAATCTTATATCATCATATATTTCTGACATTTATGTTTGGCGATTAAACAGCCGATAGGCAGACTCAGTTTGTGGAGCCATCACAAACCACCAGAATGTAAACAAACATGGCTGACAGCTGTGTTTCAAGCTTTGATTACACACTCGTAAAGCATAGTGTTTCCTGTTTCAGCCCTGAAAAAAATAGCTGTGATTATCTTTTTTTTTCTTTTTCTAGGGTCTGTCGGGAAACAGGAAACACAACATTTTTTCCTAGGCCTAAGGCATATTTTGGCACATCGTAAATGACACTTACTTGCAATGGAGTCTTTATCGATTTGTCTCTTTACTTTTTATTGATTGATTGATTGGATATAGGAATTTTCTTCTTACACGTAACTCACCTGCTTATGTTTCGATGCCTGTCAGACACCTTCCTCAGAGCTTCTCATGAGTTCTACTTCTCGCTGCTATATGTAGCCAATGTAGGTTACGCTTTAATTTGCGGCGAGAACAATAACCACATCTAGTGGTGAGAGGCAGTACTGCAGTCAAACGCTCTGAGAAAGATGTCTGTCAGGCATCGAAACATAAGCAGATGAGAAATATAATCAGTTGTGTAAAAGGAAAATCCCTATATCCTATATCCTCCCAACCCGACATGCCTGATGGAATTATTTTTGGATGATTGATTCATCATCATCATCATCATCATCATCATCATCATCATCAAATGGTTTATTGTTCAATTGACTTTGCAGCACTACTTGCATGTAGGCTGAATTGTGCCCATTGTTACATATCATCAGCTGTAATTGATTAAAAAAGTTGCGAGAATATTTACAAATATTATAAAACCCACTGCAATAAAATCATATATAGCTTAAAAACGAGGCATTTAAAATTCGTGATCTTTGTACAACATTGAAAGTTTATTGCAAATTCATGCCCGAGGGCTAATTGCAAGAACATGATAACAACAGTGAACAGTAAAAATGATAATAAGTAATGCTAATGCTACTTTATATATACATTTGTAGTTATTGTTGGGTTTGATTTCTTTTCCGTGTGCAGTGGAGTATGAAATGGCCGACGTTTTGCGAGATATATGAATTGGGAGGTGTTAATTAAATCCAACTACATAGAACGATATGTGATGTCATTTTCTTTCGTTAAGTATTCTCAACAGTGACGGTACCGGACTATTGCTGAACCTTGTGCGAGTTATGGGAAGAGTCAGTGATTGATTGGTCATTCCTTATCATTAGCTGCAGAAGATGGGTTTCACGAACATGGACGCTGTGGACGGGAGTCGGGACATGCTGGACCTTGCCGAGAGGAAGCAGATCTACCAACGACTCATCTGTGACTTTGTCGGAGCGAAACCCATGGACATCGAAAACGGTATCACTCCATTACATTCTCAACCAGTCATCCCGAAGAGTTGTAGGATTGCGAGAATCTTACATTCGGCCAAATTAAAATAGGGCGCGTGTCTTTAGGGTTACTTAAAGTTGCATCATGTAACATATTATTACGATATAAAAAGTACATTTTCTGATCATTTCTTTACAAAGTAAGTTGAATCAACCCTACTCCATTGCAAATAAGTGACATTTAGGAAATGGAGGTGCCAACGATATAAGCCAAGATATAGCTGTCAGTAATGCTTGTTTACATACTGATAGTTTTTGGTGACACCACAAACTATCTGCATGGACATTAATCAATCCGTCCAAAATGTAAAGTTACCCGTATTTGTTTAATTGAGAAGACCTGTGCCCTACACAGACACGTATGACGCCATCGCCTGCTGCAGTGCCTTCGGCCCGGGTCACCTGAAGGAAGACTGTCTACCTGAGCTCATACGAGTCGTCAAACCAGGTGAGCTGAGGTTGAATTTAAAGATCTTGGATACCAACCAGCATGAAAGTGCAATCTTAGTTAGTAAATCAAACTGTTCTCCAACTGAAAAAACGAACTGACCCACCAGAATTTTCGACCGAATTTCTTGATCTTCATCAGCTATCTGATCCGCCACTGGTTCAAAGTTCACCGAAGTTGGTACCAACCCCCGTCTAGGCTGAAAGTGCCATTACGAAATCTGCCATATATGGGCTTTTAAAAGCCGGCTGCTCCGCCAGTCCATTGCTTCCCAGTAACTTGAGGTTAAGTAAAGCACCCTAACCTAGTCTCCACCAGACTCCTTTGCAGGCTGAATAAATAGTAGAAATCGGCCTAAAAGAGAATCAGGATATCATTGGCCAGAGGGGTTGGCCGGTCAGAGAGGGTCCATTTGCCTGCCCGGAGTCTGGTGGAGGCTAACCCTAACCGGTCTCCCATCTCCGTCCAGGCGGGTCTATCGTGATCACGTTCCGGGAGGAGTATCTGCACATCGTGGAGGACTACAAGGACAAACTGGAGCCCGCCATGGTCCGTCTGCAGGACTCAGGGCTCTGGGAACGAGTCAGTCGGGACGTCTTTCCCAAGTTCTACGAGGACAAGGACGGCATTACCTTCGTCTATAAGGTCCTGTAGCTGACAATCTTCAAGCTCAATCATTTGATTAAAAAAATCAAAAATTAAAAAAAATATATATATTGAGTCGTGTTGTTTTATTTTAGCTGTAAAAGATATGACATGATAAGCTGTATTTCTAGCCCCCCCCCCCCTCCGTCTACTGGTTTCTAGTATCTGTACTATGAAGTCGGTAAAACGCACCAGCATTACGACTACATAATGCATGCATATATGCGACATTCGAAGGTCTCGAATACATACAAACCCGCAAACTCAGCCACCCAAAACAATACTTCCATACGTACCTGGATGTTGTTACACTACAGTCGAGTATCAAATTACCGTTCCTTAGTACGATCGATAAATCAGTCTTACAAAACTGTCGGGAAGTGACCTTGTGTGTCTTCCATTATAATACATATGTCACTATTCACTATGTCAGTATGTGTGTTACTACTCATAATACATTCGTTTTGCGGTTTTTCTCACCGATTCAAACCTTTTAGATTCTTCACAGTTTTTTATCTATCCCAAACTTTCCCAGATAAATTACCCATGGTTGATATACCTATATAACAAACTTTGATCCTTCCTGACGTATTCCACCTGGGTTAGGAAAACAAATTTCATTTGGAGAAAATCACAACTTCTCGGACTGTCCCTATATTCAAAGGGATCGATCTATCCGTAGCTACGTGTCTCCTGGTTACCCCAGGTGTAAATACAATAACATTGTCAATGTCTACCCGTACGCGGTCGCCTCAACCCTAAACCTCTCGAGTGCCCGTTACCAGCGAGACCGAAACAGAGGATTCTCTGAGCGGTACATGCACCAGCTTCACCGCTTCTTCTGCATTTGTTAAGAAGGTGAGACTAACGTACTTGTATTCTCTCTTTTTTACTGTCAAATTTGTAACTAGGTTACGGGAAACGATGGAGTCTACTTGATGGTTCATGAAAAAATGATAAAAACATTTTTTTATATTGTAGGAAAGTTTTTTTTCATTTTAAATTCATCACACAGTAGTAGTAAAATTATACGTTTTTGACCATCGTACAACTCATCAAACCCATCTAACTTATTTACTCAACATCAGAATTCATGAAACGAGAAGAAGCTGAACCTATGTGTTAGTGTAGCTTCAGTTTTAGAAGGTTTAGATTGTTATTATATAGAAGTCCTGTCAATGTATTTTACTACTAGATTTCTACTTGTATGTCTGTACTCTTACTGATCTGATATAAAGGTTCTAGGTTTGGATCTAAGCAGGCCCCAATAACTAGTAAAGCACTTAACGCCCATTTCCTCTCACTCGATTCAAGTTAAAACGATCTGAGTACATAGCTTCAGTTAGGGACGTCCTCTCAGATGGGACGTAAAGCCGGAGGTCCCGTGTTTGAGTAGGACCCGTATTTGTGCCACACCTTAAAGAACCCACCACACTTATCGAAAAGAGCAGGGGTCCTTCCCTGAGTGAGTTGATCAAATCTCCACAGTCTCGTCTTACGTAGCTTGTACCTTCAGCACAAACATTGTGTGTTAAGACCTCCCACGTGCCTTCAGCATGCGGTTATTCCACAAAGAACAAACATGGCAGTGATCAATGGGGGGAACAATTCGTCTGAACAATAAAAACACGCCATGATGTCATAAATAATGCACCGTGAGAGAGTCCGCACGCAAGAAAAGTCATTGCTGAACGACCAGCCATGGAGATTTCTTCACAGCATGTCCTCTGTCCATACAGTTAAGACTGATGAATGGGTGCATGTTTATTTGATGAGACTTAAAGTTATATTAAACGTTGATTTTACATTGACACGCGTGAACTTTACATTGTAGAAAATTTGCATTATCTGTATCAAAATCATCCACTCACGCAAGCTGGCTACCTCCTACGGTAGGGCGCTGAGGTCTAAAGACAAAAATCTCAGATGAAGAACCTTTAGGTTTAGGAACGCCACGATCGCGATACCGTTTCTTATCTAGGTATTGAATGGCGTATCTCGTCTAACTATATGTATATATAACGGTGTAGATATCAAATCCTGTAATTGTGAATCATGCTTCAATTCAGCGACTTTGTTGCAGCTGCAATGGCATATCATCTAAAGTGTGATTTCATTATTGAAATAAACAAGCCATCCATTCATTCATTCATAAACGGAGAAAAAATTCACAGGAGCTGCACGGTGACATTTCCTTGGCCGATCGGATGCCGTCTCACCAGTCAGACCATGTTTGTGACGATGTTTGTGTATATCCAGCCACGGTACAACCGACCTTTCCTAACAATACCCTCTCCATTGTCCAGCCGTCAGGTCGTGTGTTGGTAACGGCAGCTGACCTTGTCCGTGTTTCCGCTGGTCGCCATGGAGATGCACCAACCAAACGGTAAGCTGCGTCACTGGGCACCGGGGTAAGGTCACACTGATGTAACGTCTAATTAGGGATGGCATCCGCATTGATTTTAGCCTGCTCTAAAGAAAAGTCACCTTCTCTGAGGCTCAGGCCTGGGTGCCATCCTCCGTAGACAGTGGTAGCCTAGCGACAGTAGGGAGCTTGTGGTATTGTAACCACGGAGGATGACACCCAGGCTGCCGAAGATCCACTGTACAGTGTCAATGCTGCAAAATGCCAGCACGTGCCGGCTTGTCGTAAAGGTCACTATGTACTACCGCACATTCACATTAACAATACCAGCTATGTATTCTTGTGGTTAAGCAGCATTTTTGGGCAAGAATTAATTTTTTATTCGCCCGCGCGCACTAGTTTGGGGGTCTTGAGAGGATGTCATCTATAAAATTAAGTCAGTGTGGCCTAACGTAACATTAGGGGTGTTACGTATTGTTTGGGGCACCAGGTGACGTTAAGTCAGTGGGCATCAGATTACATATTAGGTATCATCGCATTAGGTAAGGCGGAACACCTAACGGTTTTCATTGACACTTATAACCCTTTCCCGTTTCAGTGGTCCATCCAGCTCCTATGCAGCAGACGATAGTGCAGGTGAGTCGCACTGTCACACATAGGTTTCACATGTACAGTTTCCCGCACAGTGTTCACTATTATAATAGTGTTCACTTTGTCGTTCTCCCACAACATCTTTCTGTCACACGTTAGAAAAATTTTCACTTCGTACTTTACATTGGTGTTTTTTTCAACACGTTTCGTCAAACTTTGGAAACATTTTCACTTTGTTCACACAGTTCATACTACAGTTCTTCCCTCAACACGTTTATGTCTCATATTGCATTTTTGTCACCTCGTATTTCACACTATAGTTAACCCCAGGACTTTTTTTCATATTTTGAATACATTTTCTCTTCGTAGTTGACGCTATACTTTTCTGTCTCACCATTCAAACATTTTCACTTCCTAGTTCGCGCTATAGTTTTTCTCCGACGATTTGTCACAGGTTGGAATACTTCGTATAACATATAGGTGGCGTAGTTTACAAGTATAGTTTTTCTCTAACTGTCAGACGCTGGTAACGTTCTTACTTCGTACTTCACACTAAATATAAATCAGATGATACGGAAGTGGCGTCGTGGTAAAGCGTTTGACTATGGAACGGGGAGACCCGGGTTTGATCCCGGGTACAACCCGACGCCCTTGGGAAAGGCACTTTACTCGACTTTCCTCACTCCACCCAGGTGTGAACGGGTACCTAACTAAAGTCGTATTGAGGCACCTGGTGGCGTCGAATGGCAGCCGCACAGACCCTTGTGACTGTTCCACCAAAGTGTGTGGAGCAAATATGTTATATGTATCATGTGTATTGTGTGATTGTAAACACTGCATCAATTCAGCGCTTTAATTAATAAAAGGCTGCGATTGCACGGGTAATGTTTGACTTTTGTATACCTGTTACTTAATGGATCACCTTTACTTTCATCTAAACTCAACTCTCAATTACTAATTATTTCACAGTTATATCTCTCCGAAACCAAGCGATTTAACAGTTGATTTATACTATAATTGTTTTCATTTATAATATCTTAAAACATAACTCTGTTCACTCGTTACCTGGACGATTCCCATGTCTTGTGTTTTGTGATGTAATTTTTATTTCATGTCCAGTGGTGACGTGAATATAAGCATATAGCTTGAGTGCGTCACCACTATGTATTGTATATTTGCATGTTGGAATAAAAAAAAATGAAAGGTTTGACCAATAAACCATTTATGTCTCCGTTTCGCCCCCCCTGCCGCAGACCGTCCCGGCCACGCAGGTGGTGATCGCGGAGAGCCGCCCGCCGGACCACTTCGGCTGCGCGCTCTTCACCTGCCTCTGCTGCTTCTGGCCGACCGGAATCGTGGCCCTGGTCTTCTCCTGCCAGGTAGGGTTTTTAAAAGTCTTCACAGGGTGTCTTAGAACGTCATCACTGCACGGAAAGTTGGGTTTACCAATGGTGATGAATGCAGATAAGTTTGGCTGCTTTAAGCAGATAAGTTTGGTTGCTTTAAGCCCCTGTCATGCTGAGGTTCCAAACCGGGGCCCGGACGGGTAGTCTTATGGAAGAAAAATCATGATACAAAAGACAACAAAGCACAAAGAAGTTGAAACAAAATTAATAATGGTCACTATCTGCATATATTAGTGATATAAGTTTTTGATTTTTCGAAACGGCCGGGCCCAGACAAACCCACGAACTCAGCCACCCAAAACAATGCTACCCGGAAGTAATAAGCTGAACGGTTTTCTTGTTTTCCTCTGAGTGATTATCTTATTTTCCCGAACAGTCTTTTGTACCTCGTGCACTATTGTCTAAAACCTGATCTTCGTATATATAGTAGCTTTGTGATGTTATTCATCTCTGATAATACCAATTTTAGAATGTTTTAGCTGTTAGGCCACACCAAGTAAATTTTATGGATGACGTCCGCGCGCGCATTGATTTTGGCCTGTTCCTAGAAAAAAAAACAGGAAATTCCGCTTCCTGTAACTATGACCAAAGAGTCACGACAGTGACGCAAATCGTCAGATTGACGTGAAACCCGTAACGCGAAAACAGGACAGGACGACAACTGCTGTTCCACCTGTTTTGATGATGAATAAAAGACTTCTTGCTTGTTACACTGTGTCACCTCATTAAATTTGTGTCCTAACATTTGTTGTCTCCTAGTATATTTCTAATCTAGGCATCTTGTTTTTTAGGGCCCTTCTTGTTTTTTTTTCGCCCTCTCGCATTAGATTTAGGGTCTCCAAAGGACGCCATCCATAAAATTTACTTGGTGTGGCCTTATATCCATTGATGTGATTGTGCTGTATTTTACCGCTAATGATGCAGATATATGTAGGATTTATGCCAACTTTATCTATTTGTATAATGGGTGCATGTTGTAAATACTTCATGCATATTTCATGCATTTCATCGTGACATGCCAGTCGATATTCAATAAATCTGAACCTGAATCTTCCCGTCAGGTTGGGCAGAAGCTGCACGACGGTGACATCCAGGGGGCCAATGACTCGTCCAACTCCGCTAACCTGTGGTGGAAGATCACGCTGGGGATCGGGATCGCGCTCTGGATCATCGGGATCGTCATGATCCCTGTCTACTACCTCGTCATCCTCCCGACGCTGTGGGTTAGCTTTCTGGGATAGGGACAGCTTGTTCTAGTGTATGAACATCCTCGCATAATATTTCATCCCCGTCTCTTTTATGCTGGAGTCACAAAGCTAAGCCGGGGCTTTGTGGGGCTGTTTGAATGGAAGAAAAAAAAATAGACATCGAGAATATGTACAGATTATGTTTACGATTATGTTATTAACGTTTTGTGTGTTGTGCCACTAGTTTAATTAAAGACATTAGTCTGAAACTCTTTGAATTAACCATTCACACCACGTTACTTGCGCAAGGGATGCCCAGCTAGATGGCGCATCGAAAGGGTATCTCTGAATGGTGAATAAATACACGGAACTTTATACATCACGTAGGCGTCCCGAAACTGACACAGTAACCACGCACAAAGTCACGAGAGTATGCAACTTATGGTGTGATACTAGTAATGCCTTGTCAGTTGCTAATAACCACCGAATAAGACCACCGAGTGAGCGTAGCGAACGACGTGATTTAATGAGCACAATAGTACGTACGGTCAAGTGGTCCTTTATTCTAACAAGGATCACTTATGGTGATTTTTCACCTCTTGTATCATGTTTCTATGAGTTTCTATGACATTACGGCGCCATAGCTAATATGAAATGGGGACGTCTGATTGGTCAATGTCACCTGGCTATATGATAATCAACTTAAATACGTGCAGACATATTCAGGTTTAAGAACTTGTTCTTTAATTATTCAATAAAAGGTTTATGATAGTAAATAAATGTCATTACTGGACCAATGCATTCATGTCTTCATTACTTCTGGGTACGGGCGTATTGTTTAAGTGCGGCTGTCGTTGGTTTGTGTGTATGTTTGTCTGAACAGAGTAGGTTGACAAGGATGACAGAAACTGTAATACTTAAATAATCCCCAAATCTTAAATCTAAAGTACTATCCTGACATGTCGTATTACACTGTGGCGATAAAATGAATATGCAAACACTTTATAATTACTTGTTACCCTCATTAAGGAGGCACTGTTTTGTGTGTTTTATGTGTTATGATTAGTGATAAAAAATGGAAAATTCATATCTGTGACTTGTAAGTTAGTTGAAACTGAAGATCATTATGCATACACTACCTAAGGATAAAATGTTAAAATGGAAGGACTTCACGCATAAAATATGTGTAATTTAAGTAGAGCTGATAAATGAGACAAAGTAAAACAGCAAGATTTACAAAAGCTATCAATCTTTTAATGAGATCTCCAAATTCACATTTGATGGAAACAGTACAATTATAAGGGATAAATGTCAGGCAACGGTAATAAATGAATGAAAGAACGAATCAATTGATTACATGCCAAAGAATTTTGTAGACCACAAGGGTTCATATGACACCAAACTTACGTTTGAAAATTACAAGGAATGGAAGTCAAAATAAGTCAGATAATGAACAAAAATATGAGGTAAGTTGATTGTATAGAACCTCAAAAAATACAAAAACATGAGTAAGTAAGTATGCAAATATGTCCTGTAAGTAAATTTCTTTTAGATTTCATCTTGGCTCAGACTATCTTTGAGGATTTTGCAGTTTGAAATAATGAAATAACTTGAATAAACAATCAGGTCGTCACTTCAACCCATAATTTAGGTTACATTACTGAACAAAAAATGTTTGCCTTAGTCTGTCAGTGAATAGACGGAGTGTTTTCTATTTGACCATCATAACAAAATTCCAGCAATTTTTGAGCTTGATCGGTAAAGGCAAAAAAACCTACAATGTTGGCTTATTTCAGCTCTGAGTAAAAACATCAGGTAAATTAGGTAAAAAAGGTTCCCGAAGGTACACTTCTCGCATTGGGTTAAAGTTTTGTGAATATATACTTCCTCAAAGATAGTCAATACAAGAGTCAATACATAATAAATACAGGGCCAAAGAATAAACACATTCTTTCGATTCAATGTACGAAATTCAAATTAAACATTAAAAATAATAATATAAGTTAGCATTGGATGCCTTGATTAAACTTTTATGCAATATTGGTCTAATAGATAGCAACAGATTGGCCTCTTATCAACAAAGTATTATAACCTTATAGAAATATAGAAAGATACACAATACTAAAAAATCAATATTACTTCATATTACAATATGAACGTCTGATACAGTTTGGTAATAATGCAAACTAGCACACAAGTCATCATTGCTTACATACACACACTGACAACAATTGAAATTATTTTGTATATTTGTTCATTACTTTCACAAAAATAGATCACGGCCAGCGTGAATTAAATGTCACTTCTAGGTTTAAAAATAGACCAAAATTGCACAAAAATGTCACTAAAAATATCAGTTGTCACTTGACATCACGTGATTGTTAAAAATGATCAAATTTGTCCCATTGTCACATAAACTCAAGTTCCATATATCATGCTAATACAGAACATACAAAGTGTAATGTTCTACATGTAGTATACAGAACATGCAGTGATCTCCCTTTAAGTTTTAGAATAACTCCAATGTTATGGAAGTACTATAAAAATATAATACATATATCAAAGTGTAATGTCTAGTATACAGAACATGCAGTGATCTCCCTTTAAGTTTTAGAGTAACTCTAATGTTATGGAAGTACTATAAAAATATAATACATATATAAAAGTGTAATGTCTAGTATACAGAACATGCAGTGATCTCCCTTTAAGTTTTAGAATAACTCCAATGTTATGGAAGTACTATAAAAATATAATACATATATAAAAGTGTAATGTCTAGTATACAGAACATGCAGTGATCTCCCTTTAAGTTTTAGAATAACTCCAATGTTATGGAAGTACTATAAAAATTTAATACATAGATTTGGAAGGTACAACAGAGTTCTTAAGGAGTATGTTATTGCTGCAGAATGAAACTGGTCCAAAGTCAATGACAATTCGCCAATGCAAATCTCTTTTTTTAATCAATAAGATCTATTAAGAAACAGGGCTGTTTCTTGAATTCCCCTCAAAGGTTAAAACACAGACAACAATACAGTTCCCCATCTACATAAAACTTCAGTGAAGTTTTCCATATATGTGCACATTCTCACCACCATGCATTACTTTAGGAGGCTGAGCTGTTGGATTGTGTCCAGACAGGGTAGGTTGACGGCACGTGGGTGGGGCAAGACTGACAGGCAGAATGACAGGTCGAAAGGTCAGACACAGGAAGTTTGATGAGCTTGAGAGCAGCTTGACGGCAGGTGGGTGGGGAAGGTTGACAGGCAGAATGACAAGTCGAAAGGTCAGACACAGGAAGTTTGGTGAGCTTGAGAGCAGGTTGACGGCAGGTGGGTGGGGAAGGTTGACAGGCAGAATGACAGGTCGAAAGGTCAGACACAGGAAGTTTGGTGAGATTGAGAGCAGGTTGACAGCAGGTGGGTGGGCAAGACTGACAGGCAGAATGAAAGGTCGAAAGGTCAGACACAGGAAGTTTGGTGAGCTTGAGAGCAGCTTGACGGCAGGTGGGTGGGGAAGGTTGACAGGCAGAATGACAGGTAGAAAGGTCAGACACAGGAAGTTTGGTGAGCTTCAGAGCAGGTTGACGGTAGCCTGGTTACCAAACCTATTATGGCTCCCGAGTCCTACATCCTCTCCGCAAATAGTAGGACTCGGGAGCTATAATAGGTTTGGTAACCAGGCTAGGTTGACGGCAGGTGGGTGGGGAAGGTTGACAGGCAGAATGACAAATGGTCAAAAGGACAGGCGGTGGTAATGGAGTGGACGTGAAAGTTTCTACCCGTGTTTGTTGCTATGCTGTAGTTACTAAGTGCACAATACAAGATCAATCAAGTGTCAGTTAGGCCATGTTGATTTGATTATATGGATGACATCCGCGCGCTCATGAATTTTCGGCCGTTTCCCCCCCAAAAAAGTTTTCAACCATACTGTAAATCGTACAATACAGTTGCAAAATGAGCAAAAATATACCGTAAGTTACAAAAAAATAAGTAAAAAACTATACCAATGTCGTAGAATGCCAAAATCAAACGAGAAAAGACGAAATTGTAAGGAAATGAACTTGAAGATTAGATTATTCGCCAAACCATATTCTGTCCAATTTGTTCAGCCCTCATGACCACGTAGATTTCATAATGAAAACAACTTTTTTTTTGCAAAACTTTTTTTTTATTCGCACGCGCGCATCAGTTTTGGGGCTCTCGGAGGATGTCATCCATATAATCAAATCAACATGGCCTTATGGCCATTCCGAGGACCATCCTTAATGTGCATCATTATCAGTAGCGGGGGAAGACAGTGATTGTTTTGGTGTTGATCACAACCAACTGTCCTCCCGGCCCCACTGCAACCCCTACAGGGTGTTCAGCACGGCGGGGGACAGCGATGAGGCGGACATATCTACCCCGGTCTGTGTACACCACCACGCGCTGGTTGTCTTTGTCCGCCACCAAGATGTGACCGGAACTGTCCGCACAGATGCCGCGAGGACGATTCAGGTCGCCACCACTCAGCCCCGGTCCTCCGAACCTCGACATGTACTGCCCGTTCTCATCGAACCTGTAGATGAAGTGGGTGTCGAAGTCGGAGACGAAGATGCTGTCTTCCCCGGTAACGGCGACGTGCATCGGCGTCTTCATCCGCTGCTGAGGACCGACTCCCCACACGACTTTCCCATTCGGCTGGAAGGCCTGCACACCACCACTGCGACCGTCAGACCAGGTGACGTAAATGTGGTTGTTGCGCAAGCCCGCAGCCATTCCGCGGTGCACTCCCCTGGGCACGTTGTCAGGGAGGTCAAACTTGGCTTTGAGCTGACCTTCCCTGTCCAACTGCACCAGGGAGTCAGGGCTGGCAGGGTACCCACTCATCAAGACCCACAGGTGACCATCTCTGTCGATGGACACATCAGATGGCTCTTTTGCCGGATACCCCAGCCCTGGTGCACCTTGCGGAAACTGGTACAGAAAGGCGCCTGCCATGCTGTACACCTGGAGTCGGGATTTGGTCTCGTCAGCCACCCAGATCTTGTTGTCGGGGGAAACCGCGACTCC